GCGATCACTGGCTGTCAAATTCTAACTTTGGTTGGTTAATAAAAAATTAGTATTAGGTCAGGATTTGAACCCAGGATCTCCTTGCATAAATAGCGCCTCCTGCTGGTATTTTTTGGTCATGTCTTATCTCACCAAGGACACCATGTGAGCTAAACCATTTAAACACCGCAAGCTATATTTCAGTCTAATAGAGCTTGCAGAGTCACAACATGCCCAGCCCTTAGATTTGTGAAAACCTTTTTAATCCTATATTTTACAGCAAAAGTGTGTCTTTTGTCTTGAGGTGACTTACAGGCTCATAATGGCCCCATTATTCAAATAATGAACCCTAGAAGTCATCATCATCACCAGGCTTCTAACCAGCCTGCTTTTATATTGATACTCATTGTCATGAAAAATACGCATGACATCATGCTATCGTAATTACAGTGTTCTTTGATCCTGTTCAATAATTCTCTGCAGTTTGCATCGATAATAGGTTGAAGGAAGCAGAAGCCCTGTGGAGTGGATTTGATAGATCTTGAGCACACTGGGCCAGTGAGACCCTAAATGAACTCAGACTTCAATATATTCACAGCCGCTGTATTAATCCGCACTGACTCACCGAGAGCCCGTCAGAAACCTTGCATTGACCCAACTCAACAGCAAATAAGTGTCTCTCTCTCCAACTCCCATCTTAGCCACTTGACTTCTAAATAGCAAAATACCTTGTGACAGTTTCCGTGGCAGCCTAGCACGGAATGTGGAAATGTGCAGAAATTTATGACAGAGACATGTCGTTATTTAAATCAGTCCACTTCCTACACTAGTCGATGAGAAGCTCTAGTTCCTATTATTGGAAAATCAGCGATGACTAGGTCTAGTGTTAATTGCTCCATGATCTGTTTGCTTCTGTATATACGCTTGTGACAGAGAAAATGGTGTCTGTAACCAATCAAATACACTTTCTTATCAGGAACGCTGACAAGGGAACCAAGGGGACATGGAAAATATGACAAGTCAAAAGACTTAATGCATGTGACCCCTCCATAAATAGCTCATTAACTCCTTCCTTCTAAGTCAGAAGGGATATTAAACATCCTATAAGATAATTATCTAGCATACAGTCTATCAGTGTGCACCAGTCAATGCAAAATACAATTATACAAAAAAATCTGCAGCACTGAGCAGGAGTCAATTCGGAATCCTATAATAAGCTAAGCAGGGGAAACACTATTCCCTATTCCCTCTAGGGACCTGTAGGAGGCGCCACAAAAAAAAATCGCGATGATGGTTTATTTCAAGTTTCATCACAGTGTTTTAAACTCTCTCTCTCACCTACTTCTCAATCTAGCTCCCATGTGGATCTTATAGTAAAATGGAACAGCTCCCAAGTGACGGGCTTTACAAAATAGGGCTGCGCGACAGATGAACCTAATAGCGGAGAGCGCCGGAGGCACGTTTTGTCAAATATTCAGTTTATCTCACAGACCCTAGAACAGACCGGCCAACTTCTATTAAATGTCACAGCTTAAATTGCTCATCACAACATGGTAGAACAGTATTTAAAGAGCATTTAGTTCTGTTCTTGTGAATGGATGGCTTAAGTTACCGGGGAAAGAGCCGAAAAGTTGACATTTCCACGCTAAACATTTCACGCTCCAGGTTTAAGTGTGCATAATTTCTCGTGTTGCCTTTGCTTAGGAATGACATTTAGCTCTTTCTGATAAATCTGGCCACTATCTGTAGGCCTGAGCCACAAGGTGGCGCTCACTGGACCCCTATCAAAGATTTCAGACATCAGAGCTTGATTCAGAAATGTCAGTTGGATGTTAAATAATGCAAAAGCATGTCAACATCGTTCCCAAAGGTTTGATTGAGCTGCCGAAAAACACCCAAGCATTGCGTTTGCCGAATAGACTCTCTCCAGGGCCGTGTTTATCAGTCCACAATTGGCCTCATTATGAGAAAAATAAAATCTCAGTGCGGACACGATCACTTTATTATAATCATTAATTTCATAGTACTCTGTGTGCTAGTACTCCCAAGTTTCATTTGTATTTGTGTGTATGTTTGGGATGAAGCCCAGATTTTCTAAGGCTCTTGTTAGTGTGAAAGGCAGTACTGATCCATGGCTTCAGGGCTGGCTGTGAGTGATGTTCTCCCGAACACGGCCGCAAACGCTACTAATAACACAGCAGAGGAATGCGGTGACCATGGAAATGACTGTGCCATGCTGATAAGGGCTTCCGCTGATGACATCATAGTAGTCTATGTGAGACTGCAGGATGACTCAGTAGGGTGTGGTGACTGAAGTCGTCATTACCGACCTTCTCACACAAAAACCCCTTCCTGGGAAAAATTCTTCAGAGCCCCCATAAGGAACGTGGCATCTTTAAACTGTTGATTGCAACGGAGATAATTTATTATTCATTCCGAGTGACACAAATGTAGATTTCTTCAGTATAACAAGGAATAATTTATCACAAGCTGTGCCTTGCATTCAAAAATACACCCATAGATACCTATAACACATATTACACTTACAGCCTCTTTATGAATATATTTATTATATATGTTTATATAATATTTAGCCTATGCAATAATAACCACTGAATCTATAGTATGGACGAGTTCGTAAAAGCCAACGACAGTGAGCCTCAACTGGTTTGAGAATAAAAAAGGGTTTATCGTACAACATTTACGAATTGTCCATAAAATCAAATGCTTGATATAATTATGAACTGCATAGGCCCAGCAATATACAAAACGATTACTATGACATGCTGAAAAGGAAGCAGACAATTTTGGTTTCTAAAGGTCTCATGAATTTTGATGGTTTCATGCTCTCGGCAGCCAGTAATTCAATGCACAAATCACAATGTTGTTAGCACAAACCATGTTTATCCTAGCTGCAGGTGAACCCCGTATTTAATGTTAAAGTTTTTTCAGAAAATCTGACAATGAGGGATCTCAAACAACCTCAAGCAAAATTGATCTCAATTTCAACACACACTCACACCTTAACGACTGGTCTAAGTTTGAAAGAACAAGCCTTTTAAGGATCCACATTAACAACAAAACCTGAAGTTCTTAATTAATGTCTAGTCCAACCAACTAATTTAGTGGGCTTTTTCTTCCTCCAGTACCTGAAGAACAAGAAGTCGTTGTTGTTAATGCACTACCTTCCTTTGCCACTGAGTTTAGATTATTGTATGTGCTCTACCACTAAAGCAATTTCCTCTGCGTATCTAATTGGTATTACAACCACTTGGCTCCTCCTGATTTGTCTGAGAGTTATTTATTTATTTTCATTCCAGAGAACTGCAGCAGTTTCCCAATGGGCAACAACCATGAGATGCATAACCTGCGGAAAATATGAATTTCTAAGGGCTAAATTAACACAGCTGTCAATTACCCCAATGCTGTTTTATGTTTCCATAAAGACAAAATTTGAAAATGCCATATGACACAGTAAAAAACAAACAGACTAGATTGAGAAAATGAAAGCTCAGATGGCCCAATCTGGAATCTTCCCTTTATGTCGTCATACGGGGAAAGGTTACCTCCTCTTTAGGGACCACTTAGGCTTATATAAAAGCATCCAAAAAGCAGCATGTCATGGGACCTTTAAGCTCCAAGAAAAAAAATAAATAAAAAAAAATAACACTTGGGTCTGGCAGATTTGCTCATTATATTTCACATTGGTATTCAGGCTTGTGAAGACAAAGTACTTGTCATCCACATTGCAGTCCCCTCCTCTACCAAAATTGCTTAGCAGTGCATATAGTCTATGTCATATTCTCACACATCGGTTCACACACCTCCCCCAAACGGACTATCAAGCACATGAACACAGTCTTGTATGACACATAGTCAGCGGAACTATATCATGCATAGATGTAATCATTTCCACTAGAGGTTAAGGTATGATTTTCATGATAGTTGTATTACTCCTTCACCAGAGTAGCCCCTCTCTCCCTCTGTTGACTGATGGTGAGGATAACTTGAGACCATTCAAACAGAATATGAGATTCATTCTGCTCCAAAGATGAATATGACAGCCTTGCATAAAATATAACTTCATTACAATTCCAGCTAAAATATAAAACTCAAGGCAGAGAACCATTATGAATTCTTAGAAAATACGAAATAAATTAAATGACTATCATCCACTTGGCTCTATTGTAGAGCACTATGCCCTCCCCATATAAACTGCTGAAAATGTAAGATTATTACTATTCATGCTACAACTCGCCTGGGACTCACATCTCAATAACTTCCTATATGAGTCAGACCCACATGCGCTGCACTCACTGTGTTCTGAGGAAAAAAAATCTCATACCAGCTGCTCATATATTCACTGCATTTCCGACTCCCTCTTTTTCATATATAGATTTTTTTTTATAAAGGATGAATTTGACCATGAGATTAAGTATCATCATTAATAATGAGTAATCTAAAATACAAAAAGGTCTCCTAGCCTTTCCAGTCTGGTGTACAAATGGTCAGCAAGCTGGTCTCTCAGCCTGACCAAACTGTGTTCAATTGGATGGCAAACTGGCCACCCAGCTTGACCAGCTGAAATGTGCCTCAACATCTCCTAATGTGACCAACAAACCAGCCTGGGAGACCAATTAGACCAGCAAACCATCTTAGGTTGGTCAGATAAATACTACATATATATATAGGCTATATTTATTCATATATTTAATTATGTATTTGTCTTTCTTCATTGTACGTTATAAATCTCTTGTTGCTTAGTTTGTGAAGCTATGGTGAAAATGTAAAACAAATTTAGCCTACTGTTGTTGTATCAATAAATAAAGCACATAAACTGAGCTGAACTGAAACTTGATAGTAAGCAGAGAGAGAGAGAGAAAGAAAGAAAATATGCACGTTTCCTCTTCAAATTTAGTCAACAATCGTGTAAAAAAAGTCCCTTCACAAATTTCGCCACATTTAAATATTCTTTCACACCTTTTAATCTGATACCATTGTGTTTTAAAGTCCCCTACTGTGCGCTCAGCTGAACTTTACTCGAGTATCGGGCCACTCCCAAACACACCTGATAACACTGACCGACTGCTGGGAATCCGCCATCATCCTCCGCATTCAAGTCACGGGAAAAAACGAAACTCCTAAATACTTCACGAACTCGTACATTTATCACTCAAACGGGTGCTTTTAGTCAGGTTTTATTGGATTATATCTTTTGGCTTTGGTTTAGCCGCTGGGAGGGATTACACCACGCGGAAAAACTTTACCACGGTATTTTAAAAGTCTCATCCCTCCATTTTGAATCTGACAGGAATTTCAGCAGTTTGGTGAGTATGTTTTGCTTTTGTCTGGATAGTTTAAATGGCATTTTAATATAACTAATATAAAAGAGAATTTGCTTCATAATTGGTTCAATTTATGTCTATATTGTGAATACAAGATAGACAGAAAGGCGGAATGTGTGTTTGTGGCTACATTGTTAGCTCGTTTTGTAACTTCATGGAATGTTTGGGATATTTCTGTCTCTGTCGTTGTATATTACACTAAATGAACACCGGCTTGTTTCTTGTAAACGCTTTGTTAGTAATCTTTTGACGAATTTAGAAGGGCCATGAAAGGACAAAAGAGTCGAAAACTTCTTAAGAGTATGAAACAGAAACTATCCTGAAAACTTTGGTAGGGAATGCTAGTTAGCCGTTAGCTGCACGTCTCGTATCAGGACAAATGTGTCGGGAGTTTTTATTCTTAAAGGTGTTTTTTGATCAAAACAGGGCACGCCAATGTTATCGTACGTGTTGTTGTGGATGTTTTAATTTTTGAAATCGATTATGATGATGATAGTCTTAAGGCATTTGAGAGAATAAAATTCATTCGAGGAGTTTATGGCTCCGCCTAAACCACAAAATATGGATCAGGCCCTTCCTGTGAGCTCTGCCGACAGTTATTGAGATAACAATGTGTTGTCTATCTAAAATAACAAAAAAGATGATAATATTTACCACTTTACCTGTTGATATGTAAGAGATAATGTTCCATTGGAATATAAAGAATTCTATTTGATGTTTTAATATACACAAATGTTCTTGCTTGTTCTGCAATTAAAAAAAAAAAAAAATCTTAACTAAAGAGCAATATTTCCCACACAAATGAGCATGTATATAGATAAATTATTCATTTAGTTTCATTTCTTGTATATTTTTTTTATTATAAAACTACTTGCGTATTATTCAGTTTACTTGGGCCAAAGTTGAATGTCATACCTTTTTGTATGACACATTTGAATTCAAAGGTTTTATTCCCAGTATGTTGGTCATGCAACACTGACCTCGCCCACTTTGTCTGCATTCCCTGCCCTATATAGCAAACAATGTCCATTTAGTCTGGCTGTCTAGTGCAGACAGACCCCTGCAACAACAGCAGAGCCCTCGGGGTAGGCTGATTATCCTTGTCCTTCAGTGCAAGATTGCTGATCAATACAACTGCAGTCACTGTTTGAATGGAAAATAGCAGAGTGGGCAACAGAGCTACTCAGACGGCATAAGTGTGGGTTGTTTACATCATTAGTGATTGCATACACTAAATATGAGTCTGTCATGTGACATTTCATTTGATAAAAGACACAGCCCCAGGCCACTTATTTGTCTGTCTCACCTTAATCCATTGATCGCTTTTCCTCTCCTCAGAAACATGACGAGCATTAACACAGCAAACATCAACTTCAAATGGGATCCCAAGAGCCTGGAGATCCGCACACTGGCTGTGGAAAGACTGCTGGAGCCCTTGGTTACCCAGGTCAGACTACTTTTCCAGATTTCACCCTCAGTTGTTGCATTAATCACCAAAGGTCACTCTTTTCCTTAGATTTTTCTTGCACCATTTGCAGGTCACCACTCTTGTGAACTCTAGCAACAAAGGGCCGTCCAACAAGAAGAAAGGCCGCTCCAAGAAGGCTCACGTTCTGGCAGCCTCCGTGGAGACAGCCACCCAGAACTTTCTGGAGAAAGGCGAGAAGATTGCTAAAGAGAGCCAGTTCTTAAAGGACGAACTGACCGCAGCGGTGGAGGATGTCCGCAAGCAAGGTATGCAAAAAAGAGAAGTGTGTTAACTAGGCATGGGCCGATTACCGGTTTCAAGGTATACCGTGATTTGAAAATTTCACGGTTTCAAAACCACTAATATTTTCCGTTATACCGTTCCTGCGGTATGCGCTGTTTTTCATGTCGTCTCAAAGACTGAATGTGTAGGAATCTCTCAGGTTGAGTGCAGTCAGTGTAGAGAGTAGCACGACCCTCCTCCTCCTGTTGGTGCAGCACGGTCAGTCACGTGTGTGTAGGATGGCCGAACTTAAGGAGTTGCCCCTGGAACTTACGCGATTGGCAACCGGCCGTTTTTTGGTCTTATTGCAACTCGTCTCTGTTCTGGACTTGCACAAACTGCGTTGCAATGTAATAATTTTCCAAAATGTCATTTATATGAAAATATGAAGTCTGTAAATGCCCGTTAACACAGGCCAGGGACGCTGAAGACGGACGTCCATTAACACAGGCCAGAGACGCTGAAGACGGACGCACAGAGAAAAATACTGTAGCAGGCAGATCACTCACTGTTCATGATGCACAAACTATTAGCAACATCATATGACCCCTTTAAAGCAGTGTTTCAGCGCAGCTACAGCGGTAACTAAGGAAACCCTGTATCTGGTGTTCCAGAAGCGCCTCCTGCTGTCAGAGAGTGAATCTGCATCTCATTCAGAGCATCTGCTGTTTGTCGTTCAGTCATGTAGTATAATTTCACAAAGCTAGTCAGAACATTCTGTTT